TGTGTGTGTGTGTGTGTGTGTGTGTGTGTGTGTGTGTGTGTGTGTGTGTGTGTGTGTGTGTCTGTGTGTCTGTGTAGTGTTGTTACGTGGGTTTGTAGGTGCGTGTGGGTGATTTTGTGCCAGGCAGGAGGCAGTTGAGATGCGTGCAGCAGAGAGGTAGCTGTAGTGATGAGTGTGTTCCGCTGTGTTGGTTATGGCGTGAGACTTTAGGCAAAGTTCGTTTGGTGGTGCTTGAACTTCGCACGTGACAGGAGTTGGTATGTTGGCGGTTAGGAAGGAGAGTGATGCATATGCAGCAGAGTGGATGTTGAGGATTATAGTTGCCTGTGTGGGTGTTTGATATTTGCTACCAATGTGGAGTTTGACGATCTAGGAGGGTTAAGGAACGTGGGGAGCATGGGTGGTTTTTCGTGAATTAAGATGGAATGGTTGGTTACAAGACTCGCTGGGGAGACATGCGTTTTTGTTTGGGTGTGTTTGTTTATGATATTGCTGCTGAGGTTCGTTTGTAGGGTGGTTAGAGGAGAGGTGTATTGTGTTGGTTAGCGGACGGCAGGTGTACGGGTTGGGATGTTGAGGTTTGCGCGGAAAGTCGTTGCTGTGTATGGGGAGCGGGTGGATATAGCTGTGGTTGGTTGAAGTACGCAGGATATCTGGCGGAATACTTGTTGGTCGCCTCGGTGTTGGATGTTGGTGTGTTGCAGTGTGCCGAATGCTAGGCAAGTGGGTTATTGTGTTGTGTTGTTGATGGTTGTCTTGTTGGGCTGTGGATTGTTTTATATGAGGCACTGTGCTAGAAGGAATGTCGTGGGATTGTGAGCGCGTTTAACAGCACGTGGAAAATTGTGTGGAGATGTGTGGAAGTGGTGTTTACGTGTTGTAGAGTTGCGAAGGGTAGGTTGGGTAAGTTGTATGATATCACGGCGATTGTGTGGAGTGCAGATGCGTGTGTTTGTCCGCGAGTGTGGAGGTTTTGCGCCGTGGATGGGGAGCCGTTTGATTGAGTGGAGCGGCGAGGTAGTTGAATGCGGAGTGTGTTGCGTTGTGTTTGGCATGGTGTGCCAGCATCGTCGAAGTGTTTTTTCAGGCGTTTGAATTTCCAACCAAGAAGGAGATAGTACGTTTTGGCGTTTAGCATGTAGCGGGGTTTAACAATCTGGCGCAACTGGGCTTGTATGTGTGACGAAGGGTGGAGAACGACACTATACGATTAGACGGGTGTGTTGTGTATCTTGTTTGGGTGTGTTTAGGTGTGGCATTGTGGCATGCCTCGTGGATGTGTTGACGGAGTTGCGTGTAGCTGCAGGTGTGGGTAGAAGAGTGGCGTATTGTGTTGTTGGTAGGGGCTAGATGTGCGGCACACGCGCTTCTGCTTAAGCATGTAGTAGGAGGTGTATAGGGAGTGTGGGTGTATACGGATGTTTTTGGTCGGAGTAGTTTTGCGTTGGTGAGGGAATTTTTGTTGCCCAGCCAGGTGTTGGTAAGATGCGTATTGGAGTGTGTCGAGTGTTGGGGAGGTTGGTGATATATGCTGTGTTATCGGGGTGTGTTTATTGTGGTTGTGGGTTGTGTTTGATAGGAGGAAGTGCGTAAGAAGGATTGTAGTGCGTTTGTGAGTGGGTTGAAGAGAACGTAGGCGGACGTTTGTGGGGGTGTTTGCGAGTGCGGTGTACGTGTTGCGGACTTGAGAAGCTTGGCGTCGGTCTGTTGTTTGATGTGAGGCGTATGCAGATTGGAGGTGAGGGCTTGTGGTTGTGGGTTGTTGTTTGGTTTTGTGTAGAGGGAGCAGGCAGCGTGTGGGGAGCATTGAGTTGGCTGAGTGTTGCATGTGGTACACGGTGTAGGGAATTCGATGAGATGGCAGGCGAAGTTTTGTTGGAGATGTCTAACGTTTGTGCTAAGTGGGGGAAAGTGCGCGGTGAGAATGGCAATTATATCTGCCAGTGGATGTTAGTGTGACGGAGTATATTTTGGAGGCATGGGTAGGTATCTAATATATGATACTTTGTAAGTGTTCTACGACATAGCGTGTTTAGGCGGCGTGGCGAGCATGCGTGTGTTTGTATGAGTGTAGCTGGCGAAGAACATTACAACATTAGATGGGGATGATGTGTGATCGGTTTGGTTGGGTTTTGGTGTTGCACGTCCTGTGGGTGCTTTCCGGGTCTTCATTCTCATTGCGATGGAGAATTGAGGAGTGCAGCATTGGGGTGGTGATAGCAGGATATCTTTGGGGCAAACCAATTGCAACTCATGCAGAGAGTAGGTGTTGTATATGTTGTATGGGTGGGTACGTGTGTGCTTGGTTGCAGTAGGTGGTGGTTGTTGGCGAAATGTCTGTTACAAAGCTACGTGTTGGATGGGGCTATGTATAATTATGCGGAATGCTAGGCAGGTCGGCATTTTGTGTCGTGTTGTTGAATGATAGCTGTTGCGCGTGTGGGTTTTATTATCGACGTTAGGGTGTCCTTTGGTGTGGCATGTTGTGTGCTTGTGCTCCCCGAGTTAAGGCTATTCCGAGTTAAGGCTATTTGCGAGGGAGGTTAGAGGGGTGGAGCACTGCGTGGGTGATGGGAAGCTACCTTTGGGCCTAACGAGTTGCACACTTCCCAGCTAGTAGGTGTTTCCTACGGTCCGTATGCGGTGTGGATGTTCGCAGTGGATGTTGTTGGTAGGTGGAATGTTTGTTACTGAGCTACGAGTTGGGCGTTGTTGTGTATCGCCATGCGGGGCGGTAGGCCTGTTTGTGTTTTGGGTCGTGTGGTTGAATGGTATTTGTTGTGCGTGTAGGTTTCGTTATAGAAGGGAGTGGGTTAGGAGCAGCACGGCAGTTGAGGTGTGAATCTGCGAACGGTTGCCTGTTACAATGGGTGGATGTAAGTGGGAGTGGGGTAGCTTGGTGTGGAGTGGCGAAGGGGAGCATGGATGTGTTGGTTGTTATCATGAGTGTCTGCTGAGCAGGTGGCTGTTTCTCTGTGGAGGTGGGTAATGGCGGTTGGGGCGCTGGTGTAGGTGCAGGCCCTGTAGCGCGGAGGCAGTGGAAGGGGTCTCTGTTGTGTTGCATTGGTTACGGAGTGACACAGGTGGCGGATTAGTTTAGGCGGTGTTTGAGGTACTCCCTACTAAGCGGCTAAGTCTCAATAAGCCGGCAACAGTGTTTTGAGGGATGCAGAATGTATGTAGTGGGCAAGCGACAATGTGTCTGTGCCTGCGCGTGTAGCTGATGGGAATTGGATATTGTGTTGGCATGGGTGGGAGTTTGGTATTTGATACTTTTCATTATTTTGTTGTTTTGTGCAGGCTTGCGAATGTGGCGGCCATGAGTGTATTTGTGTGCGGGGAGGTGCGGAATGAAACTATAAGATTAGATGGCTGGGATGTGTGGTTTTGTAGGGTGTCTTTTAGTGTGGCATGCTTTGGGTATGCGCACGTGGAGTTGAGGCTATTTGCGAGGAAGGTTAGAGGGGCGCAGCACTGCACGGGTGATGGGAACGTACCTTTGGGCCTAACGAGCTGCACACCTCCCAGCTAGTAGGTG